TTAAGAAGGAAAGTCTGTACCCAACATGCAGAGAAATGGTTACATAATAGAATAGTTTTTCATATAAATTCAATACTTTGCAAGTATGTTGTGGCAGTAAGATGTGAAAATACTGAAAAAAATTAACACAGGTTTTAATTTTTTAAAATTTAATGTTTACTTATATTTTCACTCCTCCTCCTTCCCTCTCACCCCCTCGTGTGTGTGTGTGTGTGTGTGTGTGTGTGTGTGTGTGTGTGTGTGTGTGTGTGTCTGAGTAGATCAGAGGTCAACTTTCAGGAATCTATTCACTCCTTCTACTAGGTAGATCCTAGGGACACAACTCAGGTCATCAGGCTTGGTCAAACACCTTTACCCAATGAGCATCTAACAGTCAAGGATTTCATATTTAAATTAAAAAATTAATGAGGAGATAGAAACCCTATGATATAAAGTTGATCTTTCAAATTTAACTATCTGACTGAAATAAACAATAGACATGAATTTTAGAAGGCCTCAGTATAAGATCATGCCTTGCAGCAAGGTGAAGACACACGATTTCTGTCCCACCTGGTGCGCACCATGATCATTTAGTCCCAAATAAACACACTGAGGCTTATACTAATTATAAACTGTTTGACCAATGGCTAAGTCTTCTTATTGGCTAGCTCTCTTTTAATTATTAACCCATCTCTATTAACCTATGCATCTCCACTTTGTCTTGACTTACCAGTGATGTCCAGTCCTCTTGCTCACTCTGCAGCTACATGATGTCTCTGGCGGCTATGCTCTGTGTCCTCTCTCCAGAATGCTCCTCACCTGGTAGCCCCACCTATACTTCCTGCCTGTCTATTGGTCAACCCATGTTTTATTCATCGACCAATAAAAGAAACATATATTCACAGCTTACAGAAGGCCATCCCCCATCAGGGAGGCCATGATACCTTGCCCCACTGAGAATATCCCAGAGGAACCTAAGCTTGCACTCTTCCTTTTTTCTGCTAGTAAACAAGATACACTCTTGCTAGTGGCTCATCCTTGTTTATTACCATCTTACAGCTAGAATGATCATCGTGTGTGGAGGCTTTCTTCTGTTTATTTTCCTGCTCTAATCCAGTGCCTGCAGCTGTGCCTGGCACAGGTAAGGGATCCAGTGTCTGTATGCTTACATGATTAGTCGCACCATAATGTTAGAGGAGACCCCTCCTTTGCTAGGTTTTGTAGCTTTATTTTACCTGTCAGGAGGTAATGGATGGTCCCTCACTCAGGAAACACAAACAACATGTAAACTTAATTTATACACAAGAACTCCAAGGCCAAGGATAGCTCTGTTCACATTCAAAGATTGTAAAATTATATATTGTATTCGCTGAGCATATTTTGAACATTACTATCTTTTACTGTCTGAGGAGCTGCTACCCAATTTAGCCCCCAGACTGCATATTAGCACTGCCTAGGGACCTGTCAGAAGTGCACTTCTTTGGTCTCTGCCCTAAGCCATGGGCAGTGGAGGGCTCAACATCCTGTGCTCTCCTAAGCCTGCAGGTGACCCTGGGGAACTGGAGAACCACTGTCTCTATGGCTCACTTTAGCTCTTTGACTTCTGATCGACATGAATGTCCTAGACCATTAAGTACTGTAAATGCAAAATAAGATGAGTGTCCCCAAAGAAACAGGCTTATGTGAAGTGACAGAGAAATATATTGTGGGATCTGCGGACTGTGAAGGATCATAGAGTCATCCCAATACACTGATGATGAGAGAATTCTAAAAGCAAAATGAATCTATCAACTGTTTCCAAACAAACATCGTTGGTCAGGGTGTCCTGAGGCAGGTCCAATGTTACACCACTGGAGGAGACAGCCAGAGCATAGCTAGGTTCCTGGGAAGGAGCCATTTTTGAGTCATGTTAGGCTTGATAGAGTTTCTGGTATAACTCTGTTACAGGGACACATGCTGGAGGTGCTCAGCATGGAGGAATGTCTCATGGGCTTTGGAGATGCTCAGCATGAAGGAATGTCTCATGGGATTTTTAAACATGCTTATTTTAGAGCTGTGTGCACAGGGTCTCCTCAGCCAAGATGTGTCTCCTTCACTGAGACATTGACAAGTTCCACAGTATAAAGAGTATAAGTGGTTTTATGTAAATCATGCATCACCTCTCTTATTGATTAGATACTTTCTCCTACCTAGAAATACCTGGAAAGTAAATTCTCAGATTCCAAACATTTCTATAATAAAGAGTTAGACGGCTTTTCCTGAAAAAGAAAAGACAAAGTGACTCTTCACTACAGTTTGCACATACATAATGCATTTGTAAAAGCAGAACAGGAAATGGTGTCTTGGCCATCATTCTGTACCTGTTGCCTTCACTGTGGTAGAGTAGTGGGTCAGATTCCTGCACAACTCTAACAGACTTGATCATCACCTGAGGGTAGGTCATGTCAAGCTTCTAGTCCTTCTCCTTCCGGGCTGAAGACAAGGTGAGAGTAATGAAGATTCAACAACCAACATTAGTCAATTGCTGAATCTTCCCATGATCCAAATTGAGAGAATGGAGTCATTCTCCTTGAGTTCTAGAAAGAGCAGTCCTATAGGTAGATGACCCTACTGTGTCACTGGTTCCTAATTAAGAACAATTATCCCATGAAGGAACCATGAGGATCCCTACTCCTCACACCAACTAAACAGGAGTTGTTATCTCATGATAGAAAGGGAACTGGCTCTTGAATAATAAATTTCTTCAGGATTTCATAGAGCCAGCTCTGAGAACTGGGCCACAAAGTGAACAAGGCTGTTTAATTATCCATACCCTTGTACCTTCCCCAACTCTTCCTCTATGTAAACTGCAAGCTCACTCATGTCAGAAACCTAACGTCAGGTCTAAGGATGCTGACCCCCATTTCCATATCATAGCTACATTGATCAAATCCCTTCCTTGGTTTTCAACATGGCTTTCTCACATTGGTTTCTGGATTAAGAAGCCAGTCCCCACCCCAACCCCAGCTGCATATGGTTCTATTTAGATGAACCCAGAGTTAAACCTAAGTGGTAAGATAGCATAGGCAGGAAACAGCTGCAGACTGAAGACGGTACTGAGTGTGTGTATTAATCTCATAATGGAGCTTTTCCATAAGTGACATTTTCTCCACTGTTATGTTGCACCATGCTTACTTGGCCATCAAACTGGTCATCATCGTAGTTCACACCAATACCGACTGCTTGTTTCTGAGTGTTGTTCCTCAAGCATTTATTTTGGCCTCAGCTACGTTCTTTGCTGTGGTAAATCCTTCAACAGGACTTGCAAGCTGAAGGCAGACAAGCTCATGCCAGCTTACGAGGCTGTTTTTGTCCTTGAGCAACAGTTCTTTGGGTGCTGAGTGGTAAGGTCAAGACACTGCTCTTGAAAGTCGGCTACTGCTCCACTATTTGTCTTCTCCTGCCTCTCGTGGGTGCCACCCAGGGTGTTGCGCTCATCCAGCCAGCCTTGGCTCCTCTAATTTCAGGACCTCTTTGTCCTGGGTGTTCTTCCCTTTATGAGATGAACTCACAGTTACTTGCATGGTTAGAAACAGTACACCTAACTTCTGGGGACGTTCACTCTTCCATGTAACTGGGGACTGTGTTACTATGCTGCTCATTGTTGTTCCCTCTTTTCTTGCTGCGAGATCACTGATGATCTTAGCAGCCAACTAAACAGTACTTAGGAACTTTAACCAGAGGCATTTTCTATTATTTTTAAGCTTCCATCTTTCTGGCCTCGGGATCCCTGGTGCTGAGAAAGCCACGCTAGTCCAGGCCTATCTACGTCTATGTGGGAGAAGAAATAAACTACTACTCTGGAGAGATAATTATTGGCTTTTATCTGTATGTACAGAGCAAAGTACTAGTGTTCTGCCATTACTTATTCATCTCAGATAATAAATGCTTAAGGCAATATATTAACATCATCAACGTAACAAAATGATGACTGTCTGCTAGGGTCTGACTATCCATATCACCCTCTGAACCTAATCACAAATATGATATTAAGACGTGGAACCCTCAGGATCTAAGGAGTGGGATTAGTGTCATAAAAATGGACTTAACAAGAGAATAGTTCACCATGAATATATAGACACCTGGGTAATATGGAACACAAAATATGTCTCTGGCATGAGGATTATTTTGAGTCGTTATTTGAAGAAACAATGAGCCAACCATTTGTTCTTTTAGGCATAGAATCCCTAACCCTTCTGCAACATGAGGACATGGTCTTCATCTCCTCAGAGAAAGGCACCAACATGATACCTTCTTAGAAAGAGATGCCAGGCCCTTTCAGACTCCCAACCTCATGCCACCTAGGTGGCCCAGCCTTGGGGCTGTGAGGGACACTTCCCTGTGCACCTAGGTGGCCCGGCCTCGGGGCTGTGAGGGACACTTCCCTGTGCACCTGACTTACCAGTCTTGCACATTCATCACTACATTTATTCACTGAGGCAATTCATTTATTTACCAAGGAAAATGCTTGAAATGACTACACTGCCATCATGACCCGGGCCAGAGAATGTGAAGGAGAAATTAGAAACACCTTTGATTTGCAAACCCTGTGTACATCACTGAAAACACAGTCAAGGTAAATACATTTAAGAACACAAGACATTAAAGAGAAGCAAAGTGTGAGGCAGACATGTGTGCTCCTGGTCATACACCCAGACCCCCACACAGCTTTGCCATGTTTTTACCACCCACCTCCTCAAAGGAGAACAAAAGAATGCATTGTTCACGGCCAGTGCATGGTCATCATCCTCTGTGTCTACTCCAATGCCACCTCTGTTCTCCTGTACGTAGTTACTACTTCATGTACTCCCCTCACTCACTTCTACAACTGTGTATGCTCGGGATGTCCCCCTGTGGTGACTTAGAGATTCTAGCCCCAAACATACCATGAACCAAGTGTGTGCAGAGTGAGGACACTCTCTCTGGAGAGTCGGTTAACAAACAAAACCGTTTGGTAGCCTCAAGCGGAGACTTGCAATTACCTGGACCTCTGGCGGCTTCTGAATCCCGCCTGCTGTCTGTATCCAGAATGACCGCCAGTCCCACGGAGTCTGCTGGCAGGATGTGGCTGCTGAGGTCCACCCTGGTCAAGCTCCTGGGCCCCCACGCCGAGCCCCCTGGGGTGTCCTGGGGCTTGTCCTCTCCAGATGCCTGTGTCTCATGATGTTTTCTCCCTGGTCTCTGAACTATGTGGACAATGCTCTGCTGCTCCAGGTCACAGTTCTGGGGGAGGGGCAGGCAGAAAGACAAGAACACGGAAAGTGTTACATGCAGGCAGAGCTTAAGTCTTCCTCAGCTCTGGAGTGCGCAAACGCAGTTAAAGCCTAAGCAGCTTTAAGGCCTATGAGCACTGGTGCTCTGAGTGGAAAGCAATGCGTGCTCTGTTGGCTTAGGAACACCCCGCCAGCGGGGCCACAGAGCTCACACACTGCATGTGACAGGCAGGTAGCATGGAACTGAGGGACAGAAGTGGACTTCTGAGGGGAAGGGGAACACAAAAACAGAAAACTATGGAAACATCATTAGTTTACAGAGCGTAGTAGGAAAACAGACCCTAAGGCATTGTTAAGTGCCCTGCAAGTAAGACGATTTACCTCTCGGGTGCGATGCCCCTCGCTCATTTCAACACCAGTAGTCATTTCTGCTTTGTGGAAGCTCTGAATGTTACTATCAGTTACTGGGTAATTCTCCACAGAATCGCAAAGGCTGTGCTCGAGGCAGATTGCATACCTTCCTTCCTCGAAAGCTTATTGCAGCACCAGCGGGGAAGCTGGTGAAGGCTTTGTTTGCACTCCTGCCTACCTCACTATTAAAACCAGTGAGCATTTACAATAGAACCTTTGGTGCTCCTATCTTGTTCTCCATGAGCAGGAGTCTGTAGTATTTAGAATAAAAGCTAAGGGTTGACATTTGCTAAGGCAAGACCTAGGCCACCCTAGGTCAAGTCCTAGTTCAGAATAAGCAATAGATAGAAGCACCATCCTTCTGAATTTTCTAGAATATAGCTCCCTCACAGATGCCCACATCTCTGTGTTCTTCGGTGTGGTGCTACCCTCTGTTGTTGTGGGAATGACCAACAGATAGATGCCTGAGTCCAGTAAACCACACAAAGGACACGGTGCAATCTTCCTGCTTTGGTGTCTTCCTCGAGTAATCTCTTCGCCGTTACTCTCAAAACCCTTTAAGAACAGTGACCTCTGTCACTCAATTGAATCCACTGCCAGGCACACTGAGGCTTGGTGTTTGCCTTCTCCAGTCAGAAGGTCATGAGAGTGGTACCATTCTCCAATGTCTGACCATCCTCCTGCTCTGGCCTCTGTAACACTGACAGGCTTGCTCTGTCCTTAGTCCCAGGGTGCCCCACAATGGCTCCAACTTGAGTCTTTCTCTGCTGCCCTCCTTATCATCCTCTTTCCACAAGGCCACGCTATCTTATGCCTGACTTCTATCAAAGCGCTGCTTGGTAACCTCTACAGCATCTCAGGGGAACCCCCCATGCCTAGCATTAATGCTCATTGCCATTCTCTGATACTGATCAGGCTTCAATTGCCGCATAGGGCTTGTCCTCCCTGCCTTTATATATCCAGTAAGATGTCCAGAGTGACTTATTTGGCATCAGAGACACCCTTCTCACTTTGAGTGTCCTCATACCCTCATTGTCACCTCCCCACATGAGGCCTTCATTATCATGATGACTTGGTGATCATTCCCTGTACGTCTAGTTTCTGTCTGCTCCAGGCTGTTACAAGAATCTTTGGTGTGTGGATCATACTATCACATAACTATGATATTGATCTCTTTCTCCTTTCCAGACCTCTGCCAAGGGCTTTTTATGTCCTTTACTTGTACGGAAGAGCCACCCTCCATGAGCATCCATGGCCATGAAGATGCATTAGTAGGCACCCACTGTGCTCCCCCATTACCTGCATCTTATGTTGAGCCATGTGGATGGTGGTCCACTACTGATTGTAGCAGATATGATGGAATCAAGGCTTGAAAATGGTTTTGCCTGGTGCTTAGGTCCTTCAACAGAATATGCCTGGTAAGCTGTCTCTCCTACAGCTTGGGAGCCAGAACTGCACATGTGATATAGCCCAAGCCCAGCTACAGAAGGGGTAAGTGCTACCCCGATTGCAGCTGAAGATATCTTCAGACAAAGCCAGCCTTGGCCTCAGTCCTGACCCCCAGATGATATGAAGATGTATGAGAACTCAGACCTGGGCCAATTGCTCCTGTGGCTCTGTGTTTGCTCCTCAAAAGTAAAAGCAGATGACACCCCAATGTCCATTACCACTGGAGCAGGAGACATACCACTACTCTGTGCCTTGGAATGGGCTCTTATGTAGAACCCAGGAACTTCACCCCTATATCCAGAATCCCAGAAAACCAAGCACTAAGAACCGAGCTCACTGAAGCACAGGCACATGAGAATGGAGTCTCTAAAGGAGGAGGAACAGAGTGGAGGAGCCCTCAGTACAGCCATATCCCATGCTGACCTCTTCCCCAGGAGACACAGTCTTATTCTGTTCTCAGAGTGGGGTGTGTGTGTGTGTGTGTGTGTGTGTGTGTGTGTGTCCAAGATAAATTAGAAATATGGCAGTGACTGACCATACTTATATATGTATTATCCAAGGAATCACAGAGCATTTTCAACCTAGGAGTGTGGGAATTGAAAGCTAAATGACTGAGGGAAAGAAAACAGATGAGTAAGTGGATGAATGGATATAAACTGCTCTGAGCCTTGTTCCTACGGCACTTCATGGAAATCTGGAAGAGTGGAGGAGGGACAGCAGGCAAAGACCCATGTACATCAAATACAGTAGACTTGCCTCCTCTGTGTTCATTAGTTTCTGCATGATGGGGGCAGTTTATTCCCTCTGATTTACTTTCTATTGCATCAGTATTGTAAGCATTGAACACTGTTTTGGAGACTTAGAGAGATGTAAAGAACCCAGTACTCATCATGCATGCGTTTTGAAAGTGGAAGTCTGTGGCCTCCTATCTTGTATATGCCTGCAGAATTCTATCCAGTTGTCCCTCTCCAATGAACCTTATGAAAAACATACAGAGAAGGAAGAATGGGCAATAAAGTATGAATGTGGAAATTCTAGTAAACTCTCAGCTTTCTGTGATCTAAAAATTAATAGAAAAATCCTCTCTGTGCAGGATTCCCTGGGACATGAGAAGAGCCTGGGCATATTTTCAGGGGCAAACATGGAAGAAATCAGAGCGATGAACCACCCTCGCCTCTCACGTCCAGACTTCCCTGGCTTTCAGAAGGCTCTGCCTGCGAAGGGATTTCAGTAGTTACAGTGGTATTTATAGAACATATTTCCACATCTCTATCCATGGTTCTGAGATCTGTAATTGCTTAATTCTTTAACTCTCTCACAGAAAACACTGTTGATCTACAGGTCCCTTGGCCAGATGGCACACTTGCATGTCATGCCAGCATAGCCCAGAGCCACACTAATAGCCAATTCCAAGGACAATAAGCTGGATAAAATTAAGCTGTGAGGCTATTCCAAAGCCCCAGTAATATGCACTTCACACAATATTCAGAAACTCCTCAGATTTCAGGCAGAGATTGTAGGTGGGAAAAAAGGAAGTCCCTTGGAGTAAAAACAATATTAGTGTCCCTAAGGACTCTAATATTCTTGGGAAAAAACAAAACAGAAATGCTGCCTAATAAGCATATAGTTCATTTTGGGTTTGTTTATAGTAACTTACTTCCCTCAGAAGAAGAGCAGCAGCATAATTGTTTTGTAAGCAAAGCCAGTAGACATTCATCCAGGTGGGTGGGTCTTATGCTTCCCTCAGAGCTGTTGACATGTTGGGGACTGGAAGAGCCTTTAGTGTCTCAGGCTCCCTCCAACAGGACCTTTGGTACAGTGAGAGTAACTGGGAAATAGTAACCAACTCTCACCCAGGCAGCCGCTATCTGGTAATAACCCTCCCCAAACAAAACAAAAATTTCTTTCTCCGAAAAGACACATTAGAAGGCATGTCATTAGGATCCAAATATATCTGAGCTTGGTACTCTGATTAAAACCTGGGAAATGATATTTTAAAGATTTGACAATGCTTACCAATAACACCACTCCTACATCTAAGACCCTGGGATCATTTTGGAAAGAGGGCAGGAAGACTGTAAGAGCCAGAGGATCAAGGAGTTTGCTGTGAGGTTGTCTCCTAGGAATGTCAGAAGCTATCTATGCCCATAAATTCTAACCAACATGACTGCTAAAACATGCTAACATGGACAGGGGAATGCTCACTAGGCCTCAACTCTACATAAGGAATTTAGGCAACAAAGGAATGTTCATACTGGGAAAAATAGTCTTCATCAAGGGAAGAACACACTTATTGGTTATTCAGTACCAAATGGTCACCCTGAAAACATACATACAGTAACATATACAGACAGAACATGTTTTATCTATATATATATATATATATAGTGTGTGTATGTGTGTGTATGTGTGTGTGTGTGTGTGTGTGTATGTGTGTGTGTGTCTTTATAAAGGAGGCAGGGGGGAGTCTGCATCCTTTCTGCCTTCTATTCTCGTGATGAATGCAGATGCAGTCAGAGCTAACTCTAGACAGCCATGTTAGCACCTGAACTTGGGCTTCCAAAATGTCAGGACTACCAGAAACAGATTTATTCATTATACATTTTCCAGTGTAAGGTATTTGTGTAGTCACATAATTAGTCAAAAACAGTACTTGTTAATGAATTAGAACTGTGTATATAAATCTAATTGAGTATCATTTACTGTGGCCACTGCTGTTCTCATTTCTACTGTGCAGAAGATAAGGAGCCACAGAGAAGTTAAAAACGGGCCCGAGGTCACCCAGTCTTCCCTGTGGAAGGTGGCCAGTAACAGTTTTGTTCAGCTCAAGTCAGCAGCAAAATGGAGACATGCCTGGGATGGAGTGGTGCAAGTCTACAGAGGGCTATGGTGGTAAGCAGGCCTAGAAATTCCAGTAGAACCAACACAGATACAAAGAATTAAGAAAAGGAGCCAGCGTCTGGTATGTGAAATTCTACAAAAGCCAATTCCCAGGCAGAGACAACTGACCTGAGTTCACAGTTTCTCTCAAGCTAGGGAGGTTGTGCTGACTGGCGGTGAGTAAAGTAAGCACATAGCTCTGTGTGGTCAGGGTTCCCAGACAGAATGTGACATTGAAATTCAGGGCTTAAACAATAAACACTTAGTTGA